ACAGTCGTGTTCGTTGGTAACTTGGCCACAACTTGTTATCGAACCTTTACTGCGACACCAATGATTGCAATCTGCGAAGTGAATGAACGCAAGAATAAGGCATTTGGTAGGGGGAATTTTTGAAGAAAGCGGCACACTTCGATATATGCATTAATACAGTATTAATAGACAATAAGGAATTTTAATTTTACTCATTGATTAATGGCGAAACCCAAATTTCTATTATTTGGTAAATTCTTATTGTTTACAAACCTAAATGGGCACAAATTACCCGTGTTCTGGTGTTCAAAACATTGGCAAAATAAAAGCAAGTACGTAATCTAAAACTTTTTACATTCATTTTTCCCGGAATGAACTGAATCATCAACGGATAAAATAAGGACAAAATTCAACACAACTGTTTGAGCGAACTACTATCATAATGGTTGTTAATTGCAAAATGTCTTATCTACATTGAATGAAATTTAACAGCATTGAATCCTTACCCAGAACGGTTACTTCAACCGTTTTTGAGTCAATTCCTTTTTCATTTACTGCTAGTAGAGTGTACTTGTAGGTTCCCGTCCGATTTATTTGAAATCCTTTTCTGTTGAGACCGCCCTCAAAAGATGTTGACGTATTCACCAGAGTCAATTTAAACGGTGGGGTACCTTCCAGCAGAAACCAGATATAATGGTTTGGTACAGTTTGCAACTCCTTCAACGGTACCCTTATCCTCGGCTTTTCTGAAAAAGTCAATTTAGCACGTTTCTCAGATGTTCCGATTTCAAGTTATATCAGGTTACAAGCAAAATTAGAGTTGCTTAAACCTACTTCAAAAATATAAGCGAACACTCTTTAGAACACCTCGCTCAATGAATCCCAAGAATATCTAGCGGAGCTTCAGCATACAGGTGTGGTGGAACCTCCATTGCTATAAAATATTGAAATCTATCGATGCGAGAAAATTCCAATAAAGATCTTGGATTTCGTTTGTTTAACTTACCGTATTTATTCGATTAACCGCCCTGGGCGCTTATTAAATTTTTGGACCTTAAGAGTGCACGCTTATTCGAGGTGGGCGCTTATTAAATTTTCACCATTCTCAGCAAGTGTAGTAGTATATTTTGCAACAAAACAGTAAGTGGTAATAACAAAAAGCGAAGATGTAGCAAAGCAAGGTGTCTGTAAAATACTCTGAAGAAAACTCCGTCTTCGGGAGGGTCTCTTATTATCTCCAAGAGAGAATGAGATCATTCTCTCTTGTTATCTCTTGATGGAGTTTTTATGGGAGGGAGTTGTGTGGGGTGGGCGCTTATTCAAGGCTGGGCGCTTATTGACTTTTTCTGCCTTTAACATGGGCGCTTATTCGAGGTGGGCGCTAATTCGAGGTTGGGCGCTTATTCGAATAAATACGGTATGATAAAAAACCCTTTCACAAATAGAGTTTGAAAGATGTGCTTTTAGCTTGGTCAGGCATTTGTTCACGCTCCAGAACCAATCGATAGTCTCAGATTGGTGAAAGTTTTGACAGGTGAATTCATGTGTAAAAACTTACTTAGCACCTTTTTACCTGGGTCACTGAAATGGAACACTAGGTTTTTAACACATAACTATTCGTCCGGGCCCGATATACGATAAGAAACAAACATAATTCGGCCCGATTTTTCTTTTAGGTTTTCCTTTAGACAGTAATATTGACTCTGACATTCGTAACCTGTAAATTGGCTGTTGGTTGCTACCGTGGAGTCTTGTGCATAATTTTTTTTTTCGCTGTAAACGTTTTAAGACTTTAAGTTTGACGAGGGAGTTATTTCAATTCAGTTGTGAAATTTTTTATCGATCACCTAGTAGACCCTCCCTGAAAAGGAGGATTCTTTTTAGTGGCTTAGAGGAGTTAGTACCTACATATTATCAGTCATTTTAGTCATTTACCTCGAACTCTAACCCGAATTTCACGCAAAATAACTTCCACCCGCGACATCGAAAGCCGCACCCGCGACTTTCGACCCGCATCCGTGACATCAAACCCGCACCCGCGACATACAATCCGCGACCCGCGAACCGTGAGCCGCGTTATTAGTCAAACTAATTTTAATAATGAGCTAATTAGCATTCTTATGTAGTTAAAATTCTGTTGTTTTGATAACTAACTATCGCTAACCTTTTATTTTCGTGTAATATGCTCCATTAAAGATACAAAGGCTCTGTGGGTATTTCCTTTTTAAAGTCAACATCATGAATCGACCACTCGTTTTTATGAGGAAGGGCTGTCTTGTTCCATTAAAAACTCCCAGTACAGTATCATTTTTCCTTTTTCCGTCATAAACTTTGATCTCGGTTGGATTCCAGAAATAACCAGATAAACGAAAGGTCGTAAATATCAGTTTGATGGTTTGGTTAGATGGTGCTGTGATGATCCACGTACAACGCTTGTAGTTGTTGGTTCCACTGGAGCTGATGAACCCACTGGATCCGTTAACAGCAAAGAAACATGCTTCAGAGTTGACAACTGCAAATAGAAGTGCGAAAATCAATGTTTAAAAAGCTCACAAACTTTACTCTCTTGACGGGCTAACTTTTAACGCTTAACACGTTATTAGTAACAAGAATTCTCTTCGGTTCCATAGCACAACTGAGAAGCTGGATCGTTATGATCGCTATTATATGGGCTAATGATCATGAACACCCTTTTAAACATACCCAGTAAAATCTACATCTTCACCTGTTTACCGGAGAAAACGTCACCGGGCTGGTTTATTTACCACTGGGCTTTTTGTTCTTAGTTTTGCATCTCTCATAAAAGCTAGAAAGGGTAACATGCCCTACATCATTACTGGTATGAAACCTTTTAAAACCCTTTTTTTTTTGTCAATGGTAATTATGTTTTATATTTTTGCTCCTTTTAAACATCAAATACGAATTACGAAATACACTGATTTTGTAGAAGCCATAATAGAAAGTGGCGGGGGGGAGGGGGGCAAAATTATGCAGGTAGAAACGAACTATTCTCCAGGTATCAGGGAGGATAAATTACCACCGGATAGAATGAATTGACCCCTGGATAGGGTTTCACTGCGTCTGTTACAGAGGCACAAATGATGTTTGCAATGTTTGTTTCACTTTTTTATTTTGTTTTAAGAGTCAGACAAATATTTTATTTTAATGATTTAAGACTCATTTGTCTGTCTGAGTGTCAGTTCTACAAAAAATTAACTGTACAAGTAAGAAGATTTGTTGAGAAACATAAAAACTCACACGCAAAGAGTCACTAAAATGAAACCTCTGAGCTGAATGGCACAAAACATGGATTCACCTCGGTTGAATGCAAATTTTTTGAAGGTTTTACGTTTTCAGAATAAGGGAAATTAACAAACTCTAATAAAAGATAGACTACGAGTAGTCCCCCTTTTCCCTCAGGGATAGCTGAGGGAGCGAAACGCGAGCGCAGGTGAAAATCACCCCACGCGAAAAAAGGCGACACGCGGCGTCTCCCCACCGCGTCTCGCCTTTCTCGCGTGAGTTGATTTTCACGTACGCTCGCGTTTCGCTCGCTCTACTATCTCTGAGGAAAAATGGGGGACAACTCGCAGTCTAAATTAAAGACCCTTATTTTAATAATTTAGGAAATTTTTGATAAAAAATATAGTGCTTAATCAAGAAGCTTGTTTGGTTAAAGTCGAGGTTCTGAAAGTTACGCAAGTAAAGAAAGCCTTGAGATTTAGTAACCGAGCTATACGAATGGACAGGGTAAACAGTCCAAGATTATCTTCCAAGTTTTGAAGAAAACAGTAAAAAAAGGTTAGTTATACACTACGTAAAGATGCAATGTAATATATACAGGATAATGCTTGAGCCCGAGGCCTTCTCACAAAGCAGCGGCAGAAGGAGGCTGAAAAGTGAGTTCATTATCCGATTGAATGCACCTTTCCATTGTTTTAGAACCAGCAGGTCATTATTGTGGCCTTTGAAATGGAACTGTAGGTTTTTATTTGTTATAATTACCCCTTGTTTTACCTCAATGGCCTGCCTGGAAAGATGCATTAATACGATTTATGTCTAGTGTTATCAGTCGGTAGATTTCCCATACGGAATATGGAAGCCGCTGATCTACAAGCTACAAGAAAATATGCATGGAGTAATGTTTTTATATATAATTTATAACAACAGTCAGGGGCACCCAACGTCATTTTTCGGAAAATATCTGTCCGGAAGACGATTTGAGATTTAGAATTTTCGGAACATTTTTTGTAAAATTTCTTGCTTGCCTGCCCTGCCTCTCCTAAGATTTTCGAACGTCTAAAAAATGGTATAATTGCCTATTTTTAACGGATTTTTACCCTAAAAAGGTCACCCAGAATTTCTGGGAGCCTTTTTTCTGGCTGAAATTTTCGAAAAGGTAAGTTTTAATCCCTATAATTTTCGGATGACTAGACTTTCGGCTAAGAAATCCGAACAGATGAATCAATTGCCTAAATATATCTACCCTTTAAATACTAAAATACGTTTAACAATGCTATGTTTAAGTGGTTTTGAACTATATTCTCGTTGGGTGCCGCTGAACAGTTTCAGCATTTCGATTGCGCATGCCTTGTAGAACGTTTCAAGTTAACCCCAACATTAACTTGTCAAAGAAAAATTAATTCTTGCACATTTATTATCATTTACACTCAAAATAATGAATTTGCCCATACTTTGGTTTCGAATTAATTTGTGCTACACTTCTAGCTGGTTTGTTAATACATAACAGAGACAGGAAAAAACCATAAAAGACGACAGTACAAACGAATCATAATTTTACTTGCCTTCAACTGTCCACACTGACACCACGATTAATCCGAAGAAGATTCGTCTTCGCATTGACATCTGTGAAAGAAAAAAACATTGGATTTTTTTACTGTCCTTGTGTTTCAGAACAATAACAAATTTTTACCCGCAAATGCAAAAGCTTTACATGAATGCTGCTAATCATTCTGGCCCTCATCTGTTCTTTGCGCATCTGTGGTACTGTACACATCACTGATGTTGACTCTCTCGCAATAAAGTAAACACAGTACTAAGTAGTAACAAAGTACCTGTTATTAGGTCATTAAAGTTACTTTATTGATTGTCATGAGCTCGGAAAATTTCTCAATTGCTTTGGCTGTCTAGTAAAAAAAAACGAATAATTACAAATGAAAAACTATTTAATGGTTAAACACATCCACATTATGTTCAATGATTCTTCGTCTACCATTCTTGATTAAACTGGAATTTAAATTGGAAAACCGTAGCAGCTGGAGAAAAACCTCTCAGGGCAAAGGAAAGAACCAACAACAAACACAATCACATATGGTGTCGACACCGGGATTTCAACCCGGGCAACATTAATGGGAAGCGAGTGCTCGCACCACTGCACCAACCTTGCTAGTAACTCACTCAAAAGGTAATGGCGCAATCCATTGCAACTGGCCGAAAGGGACCGAGTTAGAGAAGCATTATTAGAAAAGTGATGGGAAACGCAAGTTAACATGATTGGAAAAAATTATGTAGACCCTTCCAAGTAGTCAAGAACATTTCTTTCCACCCTTCTTTTAAGCCTTCAGTCAATGAAGGTAAAGTATCGCACCAACTCCTTTTAAATGGGAAATTGGTAACCAACAGGAAATTCAAATCGGATGGTAATAAACGCAGCGAAGGACTTGGTTTCAAAAGCTTTCAGCTACGGAATTGTTGGAAGCCACTATATCAAGCCTTAAACCGTGAAAGGCATTTGGCTTAGACGAAATCGTTATTGATCACAAATCAAACACTTTGATCGTAAGCCCTGTTGTTACACCTGGAAACCTATGATTAAATATCATCAGGAAAAATTAAGACATAATAAATTTAAAATCTGACGTCAGAACTTAGTAAGCTTGTTGATAGCAAAGCGCGCGCATGGACGGAGCCCCATAGCCAAGGAAATGTGGTAATCTACCCATCTGAGAAAATTTGGTAATCACGTGACCGTACGCCGACCGTCCGCACCACAGGGAAACCAATGTTTACTCTCACACTTTCTAGCTAGTTTGGGAGCCGTAGAGAAAACTAATTGCACATGAATGTTGTGATCAATTGACAGCTTTCAAAACAGGATATCCGCTGATCAGTATCATCTGACCGTACCGCGGGCTCAAGTGTCGACCCATCGAGGTAGAGTACTTTTTTGAAGTTATCCGCTGACAAATTACCAGTTTCAAATGATCGCAGGCTCAAGTTTATTTTTTCCAATGATTCATATGAAATCTGTTGTGTTTATTGTCACTATGGCCCCGCACTGTTAAGATTTTGATTTCAAACTGACCTCGGACACAAAAGTTCAGCCATTTTTTTAAAAAAATACAGGCGGGGAAGACCTTTTCTTACCATGGTCACGCGTTGGTCACGCTCTACGTCCAATTTTTGTACTCTGATTGGTAATTTATGCAGCATCTTGAAAGTTGTTTACTTTGACAGCTGAAGCTGACAGAGATTTGTATCAACTTGTGATGTTTTTAACTGTCTTTTTCCACTGAATGTGCAAAATGAAATACAGCTGCTATCAAGAGTCTTCTGTTATTCATGGCTGGGTTGTTTATTGGGTTTTTGGTTGAGAAATGCGCCGCTTGTCAAAACTCGGTATTCCGATTTCGGATGGCATCTTTGAGGAACCGAATCTCGAATGGTAAGCCTGAGTAATTATTGTATTTGATGTTTGTTTTTGTTATATCTAATTTCATGAAGTCAAGCACAGTTTATGCGGCAAGTTTATGTAAGATGTAAGATTTGAGTCAATGATCTGACCTAGTATCAGGTTTGATACAAGCTTACAGAACTTTAAAAGGCCTTCAGATATATTTTCTCACCGCAAATAACAAGAAAACGTTCGGAAGAATATTTAGTTACAAATTTGGCTGTAGAAAGAAAAAATTGAGTGATTTTCTTGCTTCGAGGAGTTCATCCTTGAAAAAAGCAAACACCGGGAGGCCGGCTGATAGTAACACAAAATAAACTTAAGCTTAAGCTTTAAGCTTAAGGAAACAGGATTTTTCGAGACACTTTGATACTTGTCTTCGTGAATGAAAATTGTTGTCTCTGTAAATGTTTCACCAAATTATATTTCTTTTATTGATTGTTAGTAGTCTCTCTTGCAATTTTAATCGCTTGTCCGTGCCGTTTGTTTTCATCGTTCATGAACATCGCTTGCAGGAGTACTTAAAAATGTCGCGCGTATGAAACGCTTTATAAGATTACAGATCGTTAATAATGATAATAAAATCGTTATTATGTTGAAGCGTATCTCTATTATCTATTAAAGTTCATTTAAACACTCGACCACACTGACAGCTCGCACTAGAATTGAGAACCGGGTGGCCGTATGGGTGATTTTGGAAAGTTTTTGAACGGCTTCGCTAAAATCCACGATTGATCGTCCTGAAAATTGACTGATTGCAATTTGTCTTAAAAAATTGTGAAATACCGTATTCTGTCCGAGGTCTGTATGATAAATAGTACTGTTTC